TCAATGTCAAAACTACTCGAGCACAGACCACAAGATTTGCTCCGACAGTGCTTTCTGCACTAAAACGGGCGATCGCCCCTAAGTTCCTAACCGCTGACGCTCATAACCCAGGTCTTAAACCCTTGGGGAGGGTCGTCGAAGTGTCGACGGCCTTCGGGATGTTTTAGGGGTTCAGGGTTTATGGGCTCTCTGCTTAGGGTTTTGGGGCTCCAGGTCTACAAAGTCGGTTGACTTGCGGATTGCAATCAGGCCTTGGCATGCACATCGATGACGATGAGTGCACCAATGCTCATGCGCCTCCCCGCAACATCCCAGCTGCGAGAAAGGATCTGGTGCGCGGGACTGCTGCAGACAAGCAAGATCCACGAGAAACCAACAAAAAAAGTCAGTCCAACCCTCAAAGCACGAAGCTGGGCAGCTGAGGGCTAGACTGGAGCTTTGATATGTCACCGCGAACCAAGCGGACGAGGCCCATCAGCCTGGGAGCGAAACGTGGAAAGCAACGTGGTTTTTTGCGTTTTTCCGAGCACTGTGAAGTACAAATGGGAAGTGTAACAGCAGCAGCAGGAGTAAGTAGCAAGTAGTATGTAGTAAGTAGCAGTGGCAGTGGAAGTGGTCGCGATAACAGTTTTCTTCACACTCCAGACCTTCACTGTGTCATTGCCACACCATGTATAGGAGAGCAGGGACCGGTCGAGCCACGCATTTCATGGTCGCGGTCTGTCTTGCCGAGTTGAGTTGGATCGCGGTTTAGTGGAAGGGTGGCTCATGAACTTAGATGCCAGTATGAAGGTAGCCATTAAGTTATCTGTAATCTTCGAACGGATTCACACATATGAACATGCCAACGGTGGTTCCTCAAGAACAACAGCAACCAACACGGTAGAGGTAAAGGGTCCTTAGGAGTGAGAGATACATGTATAGTCGTAAGATCTATGGAATCTATGGCCCCCGGAGGGCTGAGTGACAGACTGGTCCGACAGCTTCTCGAAGTACCCGGACAAGGCCTCGCATGCCGTTGCTCTGGGCCCTCGTAGGTTCAAGCCCCCTTTCAATAGTCGAGCCTTCTGGTGGGCTTACGGACTTAGAGTTTTAGGTCTTGGGAACGGTAGGGTAATCATACGACTTGAAGCCTCCCACTGCGTCCAGCCACGAGAATGAAGAATCTGATGTAAGTACGAAGGCGCCTTGTGCTTACACTTGTGACGAAAACTGCAGCCAGGGGCGTCCTGAATCTGCAAGCACCTGGGCTCTCGAAGTCCGACGAACCTGCTCCGTGTGTTCGTCACAGCCATGTCCAAAAACTGAGCGAGCTAGGACAAGGACCAGAACATACCACCCCTAGGTCACCTTATTATCCAGCATATGCAAGGAAAGACAAAGTCTTAAAGTGAACTCCGCTTTAAGGTGTCGGAACCTTTCCCTAAACCCCACGGCGCCACTTGGGCTCCTGGCAGCCTGGCCAATGGCTTCTTCCACTTCTGCAGTCCAATGGACCTTCGCTTTCGACCACGTGCAAGCATCTGTGACTGGCTGTATCGGTGTTATTGGTTTGGGGTTTCGCGGCTTCGGCTCATAATAAAATTCTGGCAGTCTCCTGCGTTTTAAATCGGGCGAAGGGATTGTGGGGCCATGCTTTTAAAGAAGCATTGGCTAGCCTGGGCAGCGGGCTATTTAGGGCGGGTATTTTCGAAGTGTATTGAACAGCCTCTTGCGTCTGTCAGCCGCTTTGGACCCGATCTCGAAGCTTCGGGGTCCCGTTCACAGCCCGGGATTTTCTGGCCAATTTTTTGCCAAAAGCCAGATGCTTCGGCTGCGTCAAAATGTCAAAAGCGATGGCAGTACGTACCAGTAAATGCAATTATGAGTGTTATTACCCGATACTGCCCGTGCTGTTTTTCATGTTCGTCATACCCCACAGTCCACAACCAATGCCTGAGCTGCATGTTCCAATCCACAACTCCAGCAGTATCAACCCTGTACACCTTCATGCAACAAATATAATCAGATCCTGACCGAAACCCTGTGAGCCTTGAACCTGGCAACAAGCTCAACCTGTTCAGATGGCCGTGTCACACGGATCCCTACTACAGTGGAGCCGAAAATTTGTGCTTACAATATAAACCAATCAACAAGGACACTAGCGCCATGACCGCTGAGTCCTACTCTCATTGTTGCTGACATTATTGCTGTCACCTCCGTTCATTTCCGATTGGCCTGGCTGGAGTTCAGGCACACCTGGCCCGGCTGCTGCAGGACCTTAGCAGCCGCAGGTTTGCGCTTCAGGAACGTTACTATTCCAGCCTCAGCATCGCAAGGAAAGCACACGTGTCACAGTGGGGTCGAAAGAACTCTGGACCCTGTGAATTCCCTGAACGTCAAAACCAAACACACCGGAACTGTGCTCTAAGACTCAGCCCTGCTACAAGCATTGATTACGGTGCGTGCTCGTACCAACCATGATAGCCGGAAGAAGCACTGAGACTAGAAAATGATTCAATATGAGAATTTGGCACCTTTGGCCCCGCGCCCACTCGGTACGGTCGAGCTCGATGTAGCTCTCGACGCCAATCTTGATCACCTCGCCACGGAAGGCCAGTGCACGTCAGCGGCAATATATCATCAATGGCATGGGAGCAAGCACGATGCAAGGCCATCCATCCAGTAATGTGGATGGACGAGCGTGCTCTGATGTTGGCATCGATGGCCTACAGCAGGCTAGCCAATCCGGGCCGTGCCCTTGCCGCTCCCCCGCCTCTCGCACGGCCGCGAGCATCTGATTCTCAACTTCCGTCATCCACGTCTCAACCTGGGCAGCTGAGCCAGAATGCCGCAAGGAGGATTAAATCGCAGCGCAGGCGCCAGCGGCTACAACCAGCCCACAAGTCAATCCCTTTTGACAGGGATTCTGCATCAGTCTAGACCGTAGCAGCCGTAGCAATGACGACTGAGCTTTCAAGCAACAACTATTCATTTCGGCTGCAATGCAATCAAACAATATCTTGTCTGGATGCAGGCCGAACTGAGGCAAACCGAAGTAGGCATGCACCGAATCCCTGCTCGCCCAAGCCTCAGGGACCTAATGGGCTCTTGGGATCCTGCATTCTTCCCAGAGGTGTGAACTGGTGAGACCTGAGTGAAGTGACGGGACTCACAAAGTAAATAAACAGATCGACACAGTGTAAGAATACACCACTGTATCTACGTATTTACGCAAGTATGTTAGTATGCAAGTAACTCAACTCAAGCGTGTGCCTGTCTGCCTGTGTTCCTGCCTGCCTGTCTGTCTCAAGCATTTGAATGTTTGTGCTTGTGCGCATGGATACGAGAATATGTGCATATATCTATATATGTATACTTTATGTGACTATATCACTTGTGGATGGAGTTGCCAGTTAACCTGTCCATTGACATGAAAGTATTGTCGCTGAGCGTGGACGTGAAAATTCGGCCTTTAGGGCTACGTCTCCAGTACAAGGCATCAGGAATGCATGCAGCTGCCGCATGAAGGTGATGTTGATGATACACTTCTTTCACAGATTGATTTCTCCTCCAACTTCGGGACCCGTGCAAATCGTGTATGCCACTCTATTCTCCTTCCACCCCGTTACTGTAAAGGTGTGAGGCTCCAGCGAAGTCGATGGTCTCACCTTCCTTCGACACCATCTGCGTTGCCGACCTTAGGGAATTTTGATACACCGTGCGATGGTCTTGCTGATTCGAGAGACGGTACGCTCTTGTATGGAAACCGCTGTCAATCACAAGTCATGATATGCTCAGGACTACAAATCCGAAGCGCCAGAACCGCAGACCCTCTTCAACGGCAAGTCATAAAGATCTCCACGCTGGCCTTACCTGCAGGCCTCTACGGCGGTCCAAACTAAGCCCGTGAATTAGGAGGAGCTGTGATCTTCAATTGAAGAAGCAGCCCGAGCTACGGTAGTGATGAATCTCTCGTTCGTCTAAATTCTCGAAGCCTCAAGACAGACAGCCACTTCAGCCGTGGCCATGACAGCTCGGAAGTGAAGGTGAGCTTCTTCATTGCTTCGAAGACCTGGCCCACAGTTCCAGACGCTTTAAGTAGGCCTTATTAGCATGTGACCTGTGTACAGACAATGGATGTAAAAAGAACTCGCAACAACGAAAAGCAGGACAGTTCTGGTATTTGAACAGAACCAGCTTAATAAATCCTGGGACAAGAACATGCTTGTAATATCGTGTAATGCCAGGAGGTGACCGCAGTAAAACATCGCGGTGTCCACAATGGCATGTAAACACCTGCATGAGGCGCACACACACAGAGACATACGTACATACTGCTTGCATGCTGAATCGTAGTCATCATGGTCAGTATCATCACGTTTATCTGAATCATCGGCAGCCACATTAGTATCACCAACTGATTTTTATCTGCTCCCAAGACCATCACCGCCACCGTCAAAACATTACCATAACAACAGTTGCCACAATACGCCATCTTAAACATTGCGATGCCGCTGTGCAGTGCTGGGCCTTGCAACAAGAAGAGTAACACCAGAAAGAGCGTGACTGACCATCACTGTACAAGACTAGGAACGTGTGCCCTTGAGAACGGGCACATGTTGGTCCTTCTCCGCTGCAGTCACCATCTCGTGGTGTATGCTAACTGACGTGTCTTCCAAGGATCTTGACCCTCTTCAAATTGAACTCGTCTCGGTCCAGGATGTAATGATCTCGGCATCGATTCTGCATCCTGAGATGGTAGCTCCTGTAACATCATTCCCACCCAGAGAAATGACAGCGTGATCAGGTCAGGATACGGACATGCTGTCTTGATGGCGCAATCCGGGAAACTGTCATCAGCAACCTTCCGCCAGCAGAGCTCCAAAGACCGGAGGCCAGAGGTTCGGAGGCAGCTTTCCGAAGTTGATTACAGGCAACCTCCGGGATGGTAAGATGGCATCCAATCACATTGAAAATGCCGGCAGCCAGAGTCGGCTTTGGAGACGCTGAAGTGGTTCTCACTGCAGGACGTCTCTGCCATGATCCAGCGGAATGTCAACGGCCTCCAGAAAATTCCGCGTCCGCTTCCCGTCCTGAATGCTAGATAGCTGATCAAGAGCTATCATACTGGACTCTGGAAAATACGTTGCAACTGCAAGGGGACGCGGCTCGTGTCTTAAACAGGTAGCAGGTGCAAAGCCAACGCATGCCAGACTGTCAAATTGCATCGCGACAGCAACCTTGGAGACTTAGTCATGCACCAGCTTGAGCAGTGTGAGGAAGTCGCATCGCTCTTCAGTATCCTGGACAGAAGCAAAAGAAGGCCGTGCATGTGACAGTGAAGGAGAAGATCCGTTCCCAACATGCCGATACTTCTGCCAATTGGCCTGCAACTTGGGAGGTTCCTGCTGTCGCCCCATCGAGACATGTAGGGTCTCCTGGCAAGCGGTAAGGGAATTCTCGGCCTGTTGTGCACACAGGCGCAGACAGAGGCATGCTTGAAGACGTGGGCAGATGAACCGGCACAGCAGAAACAGACAGAGAGAGAGAGAGAGACATATGTATATATATATATATACACATGTATACATGTATACAAACACGTACACCTATACGTAGACATACATATCATATGTATATATATATATATACATATATATCTATATATTTATTTATTCCGTTATCAATGACATATGCTACGCATATAACTACATGCGCACATTTCTGCATGAATGCAATCTACATGCATACGTACATGCATACATACATGCTAACAGACAGGCAGGCAGACAAAGAGACAGCTATGCAGGCACATGTACATATATATATATGCATTTAATTTATATGTATATATGTATATACGTATGAATATACCAACATATTTCTACCTACCTACCTGCTTGCTAACACACAGGCAGGCACGCGGACAGGCAGGCGAGCAGGCAGACAGGCAGACAAACAGACAGACACTCATGCAGTCTTACATTCTTTCATGCATAAACACGTACGTCCATGCATACATACATACGTGCACACGTACATACACACTTGCATACTTGCATACATACATACATACATACATACATACGTACATACGTACATGCATACATGAATACATAATACACATGCATACGCACGTGCATGCATAAACATGCACACCCATGCTTACGCGCATAGATGCATGCATGCAAACATGCATGCTTTCAACATACAAGAACAAATGCATACGTGCATACATGCAAATACAAACATATGTATGCACACATGCCATGCAGGCATGTAAAACACAACTAGACTGGTGTGTTTAGGTGTGTCTGTATGTATGTATGTCTGTATGTGTATGTGCGTGTATGAGTGTGTGTGTATATATACTCTGTTTCTATATATATACCTACACCCTCTAGAACCCATTAAATTGTCAGTTATAATTTAAGAACCTGGTTATGTTAGGTATCTGTGGTGAGAACCCGGTTCTTTCTGTAAAAACCCGGTTTGCCCTAAAAGACCTTAAAATCGCTTCTGTATATGTTAAAAAGCATTACTGATGTAGTAACTATATACTGCTACGACAGCTATTGCCGTTGCTGCTGCTGTTGCTACTTCTGCTATACCCGAATATTATGACCTTCATTCTATCTAGACAACGTGTCTCGACGACAATGCTCTTTAGACAATCTTGTAAGACATTCTGAATGGATTCTAAACACCCTATACAACCACGGTCCGTTCAACAAAACCAGCAACATACTACTACACAATTCGGCTCCTGTAAGCTACATAAAGAGTTAGCACATGGCAGTCGAGGTATATTCATTACACTTTCGATCGTACCTACACACCCTTATATAACAACACAACACCATAATTGCAACCGGCCAAGAGACGACTGCCTGGCTTCGTTCGCCGATGCTCATCAAGGCAGCAGGACTTTGTAAGGGTTTAAGTTTATGTAAAGGGCATATATGTATCTACCTGGATAGCTGAGTCGGGTTTGTGGGTATGTAGACTCGTATTTATCGGTCTTATGGTTCAAGTTAGATTATATAAAGTATGTAGATGTCGATGTGTATATTGCACAGCAGCCTTGGCCTTACATTTACTTACGGGTTCAAGGACTTATGGTCTGCGAACAAATAATTGCCCGTATTTCAGGGGCCCCACATCCCGCACGGGAGTTCTAAATGTTATATAGAAGCTTATTCACAAACCCTAAACCCTAAGCCCCTAGAGTTCTTAATGTTATATATAGAAGCTTACTCATAAACCCTAAACCCTAAGCCCCTAAACCCTATATATGTAGGATCTTTCGCAACAGCAATGCCCAGCCCTTTTGTCACGGGCAGCAGATGGACGAATGGTCGAGAGCTCATCTTGTCCTCACAGTCGGAGGCAGAATGCTTGGCTTCTGTGGACAAATGTATTTCTGATGTCTATGATCTCAAGGATTTTGTGGGTGCACCTTCTTAGGTTTTCGGGGTAGTGCCATCGCCATGGCCGAGTGTTCGCTCGAAGGGCTTGCTTCCGAATGGGATTCGGATGAGTGTCTACGGGAAGATCTACGACAGGGCAGGCCTTTGATAGCCGAGGTATCCGACAAACAGGTGGACATTCGCATGCCCTCGAAACACAATCGTTTGTTACTTCCTGTTTTGGGCCGCATGTGCAATGCTGCAAAGAAGCTACCAAGTATTGATGCCTTTCGGTCTGAGATTCGCGCCGTCATGAAAATGAACAAGCGTGACCCCACGGACGAGGATGTGGATAGATACGCGTGGCTGATTCGGAAGAACTGCGGCTTCATCAAGATGAAGTGTCGACGCCAAGAGGTGTCGAATGCTGCCTAGCCCAATATACATATACAGATGCATCTAGTGATTTCAGAATGACCGAATTGTTGCAATCTCGTAATTTCGGACAAAGCAAATCCTGAATATCTGTGCTCAGGTTGCTGATTTCCAGGAGTTATGCCTGGCCCTGGACCCCGACTTGCAGGACCAGGGGACTATTTGGGTTGGGGGTTACATGACAGTGCGGATGTATTGATTATTAGTTCACGTAGCCTGCTTTGGCGGAGGGCATCGTGGATCAGATCAACGAATCCCTGGCACGGCGCCGTGCCAGGAGAGCGGAGTCTCCTGAGGACTCCGGTGTAGTCAGTGTGCGGGGTCACACGTGGATTGGGGCTAAAGGGTTCTGAGGGGGTTCTGATATTCTGGGTATGGCAGGATGGCACTGACGACGAGGATGGCTTTGACGATACAGATGACGAAGGGGGCGATGATGACCACTCCAGCGGTTCTGCTGGTCTGGCCCACTATTTGAATGACTTCATGGCGGCAGTGGAAGAAACGGCTCCAGAAGCCGGTGATGATAGCCACATAATCGATGCTGATGCTCATGAAGAACCAGGCGAGGACACTGGAGCTGCCGTCGCAGAGCCCACTGCGAACGATGGGGCAGTCGTCGAAGTGCCCAGCGAGAGTGGTCCAGTCGTCGAGGTGCCCAACGAGAGTGGTCCAGTCGTCGAAAAGCCGAACGAGACTGGACCAGTCGTCGAAAAGCCGAGCGAGAGTGGACCAGTCATCGAAAAGCCGAGCGAGAGTGGACCAGTCATCGAAAAGCCGAGCGAGAGTGGACCAGCCGTTGGGAAGGCCAAGACTACATTCACAGAAGATGTGGTTCCAGATGCGGGTGGAAGACTGAGTTCGTTTATTTTTTTTTCTGGGGCCTCCTTCGTGTCGTTTGTTTCGTTGTGTCAACTGTATAATCGCAGTCGAGGTGAGCAAAACTTGCGACTAGAGCGCAAGCGGCAGATCATAGAACGGCTGGAGATGCTTATCTTTTGCAAAAAGTCTTTGTTGCTGTATATAGGCTGTGGTTTTCTTTCATGGTACAACTCGTGGTGAGGTTGCGTGCAAAACGGGAGAAGATCAGTAAAGCTGCCGTGGTTCCTGCCAGCGCAGGAGACAGCGCAGCGCCGACAGGCTCATGTATAATCTCATGTATAATTCTTGTAGTACGCCATTATGCCTGCCACATCTGTATAGTCGATCGCTGCTTTCAGCTTGAATGGCCATGATTGAAAACAGGTTGTCTCGATGCCGTGGAGACCCAGCCTTACAACTTGGAGGACGTTGCAACCCCACCTTCATCGACCAAGCCCAGGGATGATAGCCCAGACCCTTCCACTGCGGCTCGCAGGGCGGAGTATCAGAACAAGATCCTTCGCAAGTCCCCCACGTTGCCTTACCATCCCTACTCGCCCGAAGTGTTGGACAAGAAGGCTAGCAATTCCAAGGACGAAGCCCCGCTGTTCACCCCGGAGAAGGATTGGGTCTAGAATTCTTGCAGACCCTCTGATTTGGGATTCCTGATGTTTGTTTTTTGTAACCAGTATATAAAGCTATTTCCCCAGCCCCATTCATTGCAGGTTGGTGCAAACGGAGCTCCGGCCACGAGGATCGATCAGTTGACTTTGAAGCAGAATATGAAGGCGGAAGATGGCCGAAGCCGCGGCCACGGTCGCGGTGGGCGTGGCCGTGGCGGTCGCGGCCGCGGTGCGAAGGCCGCGGTCGCCGAGGCCGATGAAGCAGCTGAGTACACCCAGGCAGAGTGGGATGAGTGGATGGCTGATTGGTATGAGAAGGAAGAGGGTTGGGATTTCCGCGGCAAAGGCCGCCCGGCCGGTGGCAAGGGGAAGCCCGTCGCCGAGGATGAGAAGCCCAATACCAAGACCGCCGAGGCGGAGGTTGAGCCGCCCGAGAAAAAGAAGACCAAGACCGCCGAGACCGAGGTTGAGCAGCCCAAGAAAAAGAAGACCAAGACAACCGAGACCGAGGTGGAGCAGCCCAAGAAAAACAAAACCAAGAGCGCCAAGACCGAGGTTGAGGAGCCCAAGAAAAAGAAGACCAAGACCACCGAGACCGAGGTTGAGGAGCCCAAGAAAAAGAAGACCAAGACCGTCGAGACCGAGGTTGAGCAGCCAACGAACAAGAAGACCAAGACCGACGCCAAGCCCAAGTCTAAGCCTGGCCGAAAGTCCAACAGCAAGGCAGAACCGGGCGAAGTCGAGGAGGCCGGGAACGATGGCGAGAAAGCTACGTTTGCCAAGCGCTACCGTGCCAAATGCGGTGGGCTTCCTGCCGCGCGGTTTGATGCGATCAGGGACTGCTTCCAGAAGAAGGTGCTTCCTTTGATTTCGGGAGGCGCCACTCTCTACGAGGATTGGGTTCCGGGTGGAAGAACTAATCAGTTTGGTCTATATAGGTTTTATATAATCGTGTAAATAATGTGGTTTCGCGGTTGTTCAAGCATTCTTGTATGTTTCAGAAACAACGAACAAACTTAGTCTGAATCCTCGCAGGACCCCTTTTGGACCTACTGTGTGAAGATGATGAAGGAGATGCCTGTCGACATCACCGAAGACAACGTTGTGAGC